CTGGTGATTTTTTGATAAAACTCTTAAAAAGGTGATTTCAATAATTAAATTGTGAGTTTCTGAATAGATATTAAACGACGTATGGGAAATATCTTACTGAACTTGCTCTGGGAAGAAAAATGGAAACCTCGGTCTTCAAAAAATCTCCGGCACTCGGCTACGCCTCGTGCCTACAATTTTTTAAAGACCTCGGTTTCCATTTTTCTTTCCCAGAGCCGTTCAGTAATATATATTCATAAATTTCATAGACAAACAACCGTTAAAAATGGTTCGGTTATTGACCCATCATCACTTGAACTCTTGATTTTTAGCTATGAACCCTCGAGACCTTATCTTCGCATCTCAGAGGGATGCAGAGATAACACATTCTTATCTTTGCATCTCAGAGGAGTGCGAGATAGAAATATCCCTGCACTGTAGACCCAATGGCAAATAAACCTCAACTAGAAAGATATCCAGATTCTGATTTGATCGGTGGCGCGATCTTTGATGACTGCTCGGTTGAAGATGTTGGAATGCGCATGTGTTGCACAGCGACCGGATGCTGGATCTGACTCTGCATATCAAAATGCGCCTCTTCCTCAAATGTGATGGTGGAATTCATGCTTCTTATGCAAATGTCTGCGAATGCGTTTTCAAAAGGTCATTTAGAGGTTTAATTTTTTTAGAATGAAAGCATATACTGTTTTAAAGCGGCTTTAATCTATTAATGCTTCTTATTTACGCTGGTAGTGCTTATAGGCACACTTGTGTGAATCTATTGCAGCCCTTTCAACACCTATTGTTTTCCAGTTCCGATCGGACCCATCACGAATGTCCCAATTAATATCAACGCTTGGCGCAGCTGACTGATTTATCCGACAGTTCAGGCCCGGGGGTCGTCTGCCACTGCACATCCGTGCACAATGTACACTTTGCACACTGCCCATGTACCCTATATGTGTAGTGTGTCTGTCGGCTTCCCCCCCCCCCCTCTGTATGTCGCCAATCCATTGTCGCCGTTGTGCAGACCACAGATCTCTCTCACCACATCCCATATTCATGTCTCGTTCTCTGTAACCGGCGCTGTACTGATGTATGACTCAAGCTGCGCAGTAGCCCGCTGAAACCGGATAACTGTACGGGATAAAGCGTGTCGCATGGTCATGGAAAGCGCGGGTACCACGCACCTGACTTTTAGTTGAACACTGAGCAGTGATCAGCTTCCAATGCTGTGGAGATGGTGTTTAACGCTGACCGCGCTCCATTTGAGCTCGCGGCTTCTTATTTCTGAATATGATGCAGCCACTTTTTATTGCATGTAAGAGCAAACAGTTCTTACAAACACCAATAGCCAGTAACTGCAAACAGCGCACCCTGCCAGCCCCGCGGTGTATTGACGCTGTGTCTTTGTGCTCTGCGGTCCCCTCGGTACAGAGGCGCGGCGCGGGTGCCGTCTCGGTGGGAAAGACCGCCGCCGCGGAACGGTGGAGAGCGCCGGGCGCGCCCCTGACGTAGGCACAGATTGCATCACTCGCGGAGGCTGGCCGTTTTACGCAGTCGGCACAACGTCAATGGAAGATGAACGATTCCTTCTTTACTGGAAGAGCGAACCTTTAGCACAATGCATTACCACAGAGCGGAAGTGCAGGCCCATGTGAGATTTATTTCTAGTACGACGATGAACAAACTCTTTGCGTAAATGTTTCGTAATTGGAATAAACACCCGAGCATGACTGCATACCCGTCTGCAAGGGCATGCAAACCATTTTCACAAGGGTAAGAGGAAGTTGATTAAACAGCTAAAGAACTTCTGCGTGTCTTCATAGCGCGAATAGCTGACGTAGATGATGACACATTAGGTATAGATTAACACATAGGTTGACACATAGAATGACACATTGATTGACGCAGGCACACAGACACATAACTTGGTATGCGACAAACGCGCATATTGCTATATTTGCTCCTTCACTTAGCCAGTAAGGTCCGTTTTCTTGGAGGACAATTTTTTAACAGCCGACCGCCGGAACAGGCGTCGTGACTGCGGGAGGGAAACCCACGGCTGTGTTCAACGCTCGCCTGCTGGATAATATTCCACCGTGTCATTATGTGCTTCTAAACAACAGGTGATCCGCCAGTTGCGGCTGCATAATGGCTTCGCCGTATAGCTAGCACTATCCATTTTTATGCGTCAAGTCATAGATAACATGATTCATGCTGCCTATGGCTAAGTATTGACGAGCAGACTGCGAACATGTTAAGTACTGAGGATGAATAATTAGGGATGTGTGTAAACGCCGTTGAAGAGGACCAATGACGCGCAGATACGTCTGATGTTTGATGAACCGTTAACGTGTTTCTTTTAAGACTGGATATTTGCATTTTTACAGCTACAGATTGCATGGCAGTGCTGCCCTGGCTAATCAAAACGGATAAGCGTTCATGCTCAGAATAGGAAACTCACATGGAGGCGTTATAAATGCCCATTCTCCTGGCTTGCAGTTGATGGATATTGGACATGTCTCTTGCCAATATTGAATGCACGTTCAGGAAGTTAGCTGGAGCAGTCACCATAGCCATAATCATACCCATGAGCATTTGTTTTTAGCCTCACCAATAGTAATGTTTTCATGGAAGGAATGTGTGACGTGGGCGGCCTTCACGGCCAATATGAATCACGGTGACGTAATAACCACTGGGTTTTCAAGCTAATTTCCACTTACAAAAGATGCAAATGCTTTAGTATTTACCTACGCATTTCATTGACTTTTTGTGGATGGTGTGGTGGCGACGACACGTTGAAACACCCTAATAGTTGTAATTAAGTTAGAAAATATCAGGATCACAGAAGGATGAAAACAACTTTCAGCGAAACTTTCCCCTCCAGAATGAAAAGCCACAGCATGCACGGACAGCAACAGCTGACACGAGGTTGTCTGTTTAGCCCAAGTGGCGTGCAACAGATCATAGGCCGCCCTCTTTGGCCAGGCAGATCTGTAATCGCCGTAGGTATACCGGAATCTGCTGGATCGCGGTAACCGGTCGTGTGCCGCCAAGACGGCAGCGGTCGGCAGCGCGGCGGGGCGTCCGCTGCGCAGAGGCGGATCCAGCAGATGGTACAGGGAGTGGGGAGGTGTGCACTATGCACCAAACATCACGAGGTGTGTCTCTGTCATGTATGAGCGTGAGCAAGAAGGGGAGAGAAGGAACGAGAGGAGAGAGAGAGAGAGAGAGAGAGAGAGAGAGAGAGAGAGAGAGAGGGAGAGAGCAGAGAAGAGAGCGAAGAGAAGGAGGAAAACGCCAAGGGAATGGGATGGGAGCTGATGGGAGTTGAAGTCAATTGTTTCAAAGATTTTCAGGAACTTTTAAAGAATTGACTGGCTAAGCATTCCAAGATGTACGAAATATGAAATTATTGTGTTACCGTGATGTGACAATGTGTGTGATATCTGTGAATGTGTATGTGTAGCATGCTATTTTCATGTGCGACGACGTATAGGGTAGGGTGGTTTAATTTGAATGGGGTGGGGTGATTTGAGCATGGTTGGTCCGGATGGGATTGTGGGAGAGGTGCTGTACCGCAAGTCTGGGCCCGATTGCGATAATTTTCGCCAGGGAATGACGACCATTTCCGTAACTGGCTTTGGTTGTAGCCTAGCAGTTTTCCCGTAGTTTCATTTGGGCCAACTGCAGGGGTGGAGAAATATGCCGAGTTGGGGTTGCACGGGCGCAGCAAATCCCCCGCCGCCCTAGCGGTGACCTTGACCTCCGCCGCCTGGTGCGGCTCCAAAGCCAAGCCGGCGCAGCCGGCGTGGAATTGGGAAGACTCGTGCTACCCCAACTCGGCACATTTGTCCACCCCTGGCCAACTGTTATCGAATTGCCCCGCCCTGTTCAAGTTGTTCCACCCTGCCTTACATATGCTGTAGATAGAATATCGATAGTTAGGTACTACCATCACCAGGGCTTTACAGCATTTGTGATGTCTGAACTAATATACGAATATACGAATACGAGCTCACCGGGACGAGAAATTGAGGCAAAGCGGACGAAACGGGCACAGCAGAATGGAAGTATAGATTAAAAGGATGAAATAAAGAAATAGAGATAGACCAACCGTGCAGGCGAAACCATTTATCACAAAGAAATATCGTAAAGTATGCAAAGGAGAGCTGAGGGGCTGGAAAGAGCAAGTGTAGAAAAGGAACAGTTCGGCAAAAGAGGCTGTACAGTGGATATATTGGGGCGAAACAGTCGTGGAGAGAAGATACGAACAGGATAAGCAGAAAGGTACAGCCCACCGCAAAAGTAAGGTAGGGTTTTACCAATCTCAACGGTTGGCTTTGACTGGCGATTGTTAAATGCGGAGTGATCGAAAAGAAGATGTCAATAGCTAAAGTTGCAGCTGCAAGGGTGACGATACATATAAGCTACATTCAAAGTTTCATTGTAGTCTGGCTAATCGTTCCTAAGCTTCAGAAGCAGAACATACCCATGACTGAAACCACACATTACTTCTGCTGTGGACTGTACATCGGGCCTTATAAAAAGAGGCCTGATGGCGGGTAGGTATAAAATATTACTAAATAGCGGATATGATATGACATGTAATTGCCGATGACATGTTATAGAACTTGTCACATCAACATGCGTTACCGATAATTGGGTGGTGTGACATGATGATGTGACATATGACAATATGACCGCGATGGAGATGAAACGATGAAGCAGAAATGAAAAGGTGAACCAGCTGGGGAATGCTTCTGGGGATAATATAATGTCACCGTTTAGGGAGATGAGCTGAATGGAAACGGGACGACTGACAGCACCCGGAGGAGTACCTATCTCCGGTGTATCTCCGGTGCTGCTCACCGAGTAGCCCTCGGCTCGTGCCGGTGATCAGAACCCGGGGATCGGGACACTCCGGTCCGGCGGCGGCGGCGGCAGGTCTTCCCGCCGGGGTGCGATGACGTCAGCGCGGCGCGCCGGACCGGCCGCGGTCGGCCGCCGCAGTCGGACGGACCGGACCGCCAGTACCGGCGGAGACGGCGTGGCTGGCACGCGCAGGAGACGGCGCTCGGCTGTGCCTGCGGTGCGCGGTACACGATGGAGGACGGCGCGCAGCTGAACGGTGTGGTGGTGGACGGCGGACGGCTCGAGGTGCCCACCACCGGCGGCCCGGACGCCAGTGATGACTCCTCCAGAGCTTCGCCCAGAGCGTCACCTCGAGGTTCGCCCCGAGTTTCGCCACGAGCTTCTCCCCGAGCTTCTCCCAGGGGCTCTCCCAGGGGCTCTCCCAGAGACTCTCCCCGCGGCTCTCCGGGCATCTCTCCCAGCAGCTCGTCGGGGGACGTTGCCGGGGACGGCGGCCGCGGGACCTACCAGCGGAAGGTGACGCCCGCCGCCGGCGGAGAGGTGGCGAGATACAAGCCACGCGGCTCGCCCACGCCCGCGCGCAAGATGTCCAAGATGGAGCTGGAGGCGCTGCGCGACAGGAAGCGGATGGGCCATCTAAAGGAGATGGAGCGACTGCTCAGGGAGGGGCTGCCCGAGCAAGGCAACGTCTTCGCGTCGGACGGCTTTGTCACGGCCATCACATCGCCGGTACGGTTATTGACTCTCCCGTCGGTACGGTTATTCACCGCGGTAGTCACTCCCTCTCCACTTCTCTCTCTTTCTCTCTCTCCCTCTCCACTTCTCTCTCTCTCCCTCTCCCTCTCTCTCTCTCTCTCTCTCTCTCTCTCTCTCTCTCTCTCTCTCTCTCTCAATGCGGTTATAGGTAGTTCTTTTGGCCCTGTTACAGCCCCATCCCAGTGCCGTTCCCGGCACGGTTACAGCTCCCTATAGGTGTAAGGTTAATTGGAGCAATCACGGCCGTTTATGAGACGGCTAGTCATTAGCACGAGAGTATCGAAAACTGTGTTATCAGTGCTGAAACTGCTCAATTACTCCCATTTCTGCTTTCTAGTACTTAAAAACACAATATCTTGCGATTCTAATGTTGTGGGTAATGGTCATTGTGTGGGTGCATTGTCGCACACCACCTACTCATCTCTCCTGCCAGAGTTTGGGTTATTTATACTTGGTATTGGCGTTCATTTGGCTGGAATTCCATTGTGGTCGTGTCTCTCCGGTGAAGCGGTGGAGGTTTTGAGGTCACGTTTGGCTTATGTACGGGCCCGTCACTGTCGCCTAACCTTAATACTGGGGAGGAATGTGGCTCCAGTCATGAGATCGCGCGAGAAGATGTTGGCTGGCAGCCACAGTCGGCTTTTGATCGGACGGTCCGTCCCAGCGGAAAATCCCACATTTTTCATTATCTAGGGCTGGATTGACTTGCTATATGAGTGTGATAAATGCATTTTATGGTTGTCGTAGGATCTCTGGATACTGCTACAAATATCTTAACTAGTTTTTCTTAGACATACCAATTGCCACATAAGGTGTCTAAAGATTAGGTACTCGTTCCATATTTAAATGCGAAACTAAAATTTCTGGTTTGAATGGAACACTCAGAAGGCCCTATCGGATATAGGTATGTGTCAGGCTTATAACGACTCAGCCGTATCGCCGCCTATTATAGTGACAAAATGCATGAGAAATTATCGACTTTCTCCTTTGCGGTTTGCAAAGAATTCCTTCAACACCACTCTACCTCACACCACACCAGTATGGAAATGGGTAGCTTAAAATGTTGTGCCGTCGGCAGCTGCCGCCGCCATGCCGGCTAAAAACTCAACACTTTGTCTTGTTCATTGAATTTATCTTTCCAATCTCCATTGTCAGATTTCTTGAAGCCCCAAACCACAGTCTCACACCGTCGGATTTTACGATTGCATGAACATGCAAAATGATGCTTCATTTTCAGGAAAATCCCAAGAACAAAACGTTGCAACACTCGTGCATTATTGCACACGAGACCACAGTCCTGCCGAGCTGTGGCTGTGATAGCATTGTTCCGAACCTCTCCGACCGATGCTAATGGATCCTGAGTGTGCGGACGGCACTCCGCCTCTGCAGCGGTGCCGCCCGGCCGCAGTCAGAGTGCCGCCCGGCGCTCAGTCAGAGTGCCGCCCGGCCGCAGTCAGAGTGCCGCCCGGCCGCAGTCAGAGTGCCGCCCGGTGCTCAGTCAGAGTGCCGCCCGGCGCTCAGTCAGAGTGCCGCCCGGCCGCAGTCAGAGTGCCGCCCGGCCGCAGTCAGAGTGCCGCCCGGCCGCAGTCAGAGTGCCGCCCGGTGCTCAGTCAGTGCCGCCCGGTGCTCAGTCAGAGTGCTGCCCGGCCGCAGTCAGAGTGCCGCCCGGCCGCAGTCAGAGTGCCGCCCGGCCGCAGTCAGAGTGCCGCCCGGCCGCAGTCAGAGTGCCGCCGGCGCTCAGTCAGAGTGCCGCCCGGCGCTCAGTCAGAGTGCCGCCCGGCGCCGCCCCTCGTGTCACGGTGGGTCTGCCTGCCGTGACCTTGGTGCCTCACAACACGGCGCGGCCCTGGCTGCCGACGGAGCCGTGACGGAACACCGGGGCACACACCGTGCCGCGCTGCTCAAACCGCTAGTCAGACTGTTTGTCTGTTCTTAGGGCCAGACTGTTTGTGCTGATTTCTTATGGCCTGTGACTGACGCATTCACAGTGCAGTGCGCAGTGTCCTGATGGTTTCTAGTGATGTTCCTTAATTGGGCCAAAAGTTTTATTGACCCAGGTTGAAGCTCGATATGATGTCAATATCTTTGTTTTGCAGGTAGTAGGTATTGCCGTAAATCAACAATTCATTTAAAACAATGTTTCTTCTGTTTTAACACAAGCAAACGCTCTCTAATTAGACGGTTGCTTGGAAGTATTTTGTTGCATTTTTTGCCTCTTTAATGCATTTTTTTAACATAACCATTTGGACGGTCTTTTTTTAAGGGAATCTATCGATACAAAACTCACCCATGACCCTAGATATAAAGACACGCTGCCTAGATCCAAACAATTATTTAGCAGAAATGTCTGTGCTCAGTGCTCACTGCTCACTATGGCAATCAGCGCCATACTGTGCCTCTCCCACCCGTGTCGCCATTTACCGCGTCAGAGCAGCTTATTCAGACTGGTGGGGCTAATCTGCCCCAAATTACTGTCTAAGACCAAAGGACAGATGCCAATCTCTGGTTCTGACGGCTGTAGCGGGAATTCTAGTTAAACATGTCATGCATAATATAAGGCTTATGTTTCATCATTCCTAACTCAAAAGCAGAAAATCAGACTGGCCAAAAATGAGTCTTTCCTCCATGCGAGTGATACCTCCAGCCGAGGTCACCTGGATTTTGATCTGTGATATGATCGGCTCCGAGGCTTCCTCCGGTGGCGTTTGGCACGCGCGCTGAGCCGGCAGAGGTACTCCGGTGTCTGAGCTACAGAACTGGTTCCCCTCGGCTGCCGACCGGCACATACCCCGTGCAGCAGGTGACCTCGACAGAGCCTCCCCAAATGACTTCAGGTGGCTGACGACCGAGCAACGAGCCCACAGCCAGTTATCCTTGTCTGGATAATTTATTAAGTTATTTTTGTGCAGGCTGAAGACTTTCTTTCCACAAACTCATATAAGTCTTCTGTAACTCGGATGCACATAAATATTGAGCCCAGCATTCCTTGAGATTTACCAACCCTACTGTTGGTTGTGATAGAATAAACGTCTGCACATTTAAACATTATCTTGTTATCCAAAGGTATTTAGCGATCGGCAGTGATTTTTGTTCTTATCTGCACGTATTTGTTATCGGCATTGAGTTTAAATTGGCCCATCAACATCTGCAAAAAGCTCCGCGCATGACACGAATTCCATCCGATTGGATCAAACTGTCTGATGTGCATTCAAAAGGTAATGCATTGCAACGGGATCCAACTGAAGGGCTGTCCGGCACTGAACTTTACACCTTGTTACGACCAGTGAATGATCATACTTACAGCATCAGTGACAGAGTCCATGCCGCGCACGCTATGTCACCGCCGCCAGTATGCAGCGCTCCACCCGGGCTGGGGTCGAGCTGGGGGCTGGGGTCTGGGGGCTGGGGGCCAGGACCTGGGAGCTGGGGCTGGGAGCTGGAAGGGGGGGGGGCTGGATGCTGGGACTAGGGTCTGGGGGCATGGTACTAGCGTGGGCGGCTTGGGGATAGGAGCTGTGAACTGGGACCTGGGCCCAAGTGCGGTAAACTCAATTTGGGGTAAAATACCAAACTACCCCACTATGTAACTACAAAAATACTGCCCTAAAATTGAGTTTACCGCACTTGGTGAGATTGGACTAAGTGCCTAATGGCACCAAGTTAAGTAAACACAATTTTGGGGTAATATTTTTCTAGTTACCTAGTGGGGTAGTTTGGTATTTTACCCCAAATTGAGTTTACCGCACTTGGTGAAACTGGGCCTGGAGTTGGATTTAAGGGCTGGGGGCTGGTGAATGGGTGCCTGGTGCAAAGGACTAGGGACGGGGCTGAAGAGATACGTGATGGATGTCCGATGATGGCTGCTTCAACGAGGATGACGCCCCTCTCGCGTCATCTCTGAGGCCAGTCCTTGCTAACAGCCCCCAGCTCTCTGCATGCAGATGAGCTCCGAACGCTGACATGCTGGGAAATAAACACTGAAATCGGGGAGCTTGAAGGTCATGGAGTATAAGCAGGGAAGGGGAGATCGAGGAGAGGTGAAGCGGCAGAATGCAGCATGACTATCAGAGATGGATTAACATTAAGGGCTGAGGCCGCATGATGATTTTATAGGGGGAAGGAGTGATTAAAGGCCTGCAGGGCCAGGGGGAGGTGCGCGCTAAGCTAAAGCCCGTGACTGGCGCCGTCACCATCGCCTCACGTTTCATGTAACGAGATCATGTGCATACCCTTTACACTTTCACAGTGCCATAACGTCACTTTGCCACCCATATCAGTTTCTGAATCGAATATTTACTCATATACTTGACTGATATTGAAAAAGACACCTTGGGTTCTGAAGTCTGTTGTAATGACTCATTTTGAAAACGTCACGACCACCGGCAAAACTTCCCCGATGTTCTCATTAAACCCCAACTGTGATTTGTGTGACAGATATCATTGCCTATCGGTTGTCATTGTTCGTCACGGGTTCTCTCCAATGCATCACTCTTTTGTGTCTTGAGCTTTGTTTTTATCCTAATCCCACTAAACGCTATAGATAACGGTATCGCTTAACGGTATCGCTTGTAGCATCCGGCTCCACGTCAAAGATGGCTTGTCATATGTGCATAATCACCCTACTCAATAGGGTGAGTGCGTGGGGACGATTACCGGACACTATCGTCCACCATTACGAGTAGCCGTCCGCTGGCCAGTTCCCACTGCCGAGTGTTATAGCTCTCGCTGTCTACTGTCCAATTTCTGAGCTGTCCAGTCTGGCCATCCGGTGTCTTCAGTCAAACGGTTCAGTTAAATCTCCGGGCGGTATCGTCCCTCTGCCTGTCCCCTGTCCCCTGTCCCCTGTCCCTCCCCTGTCCCCTGTCCCCTGTCCCCTGTCCCCTGTCCCCTGTCCCCTGTCCCCTGTCCCCTGTCCCCTGTCCCCTGTCCCCTGTCCCCTGCCCCCTGTCCCCTGTCCCCTGTCCCTGTCCCCTGTCCCCTGTCCGCTGTCCCTGTCCCTGTCCGCTGTCCGCTGTCCCCTGTCCCTGTCCCTGTCCCCTGTCCCCTGTCCCCTGTCGCCTGTCCCCTGTCCCCTGTCCCCTGTCCCCTGTCCCCTGTCCCCTGTCCCTGTCCCCTGTCCCCTGTCCGCTGTCCCTGTCCCTGTCCGCTGTCCCCTGTCCCCTGTCCCTGTCCCTGTCCCCTGTCCCCTGTCCCCTGTCGCCTGTCCAGTGTCCCCTGTCCCCTGTCCTTTGTCCCCTGTCCCCTGTCCCCTGTCCATGTCCCCTGTCCCCTGTCCCCTGTCCCCTGTCCCCTGTCCCCTGTCCCCTGTCCCCTGTCCCCTGTCCCCTGTCCCCTGTCCCCTGTCCCCTGTCCGCTGTCCCTGTCCCTGTCCGCTGTCCCCTGTCCCTGTCCCTGTCCCCTGTCCCCTGTCCCCTGTCCCCTGTCGCCTGTCCAGTGTCCCCTGTCCCCTGTCCCCTGTCCCCTGTCCCCTGTCCCCTGTCCCCTGTCCCCTGTCCCCTGTCCCCTGTTCCATGCCGCCCGTCCAGTGTCTAGTCTCCGGTTGTTATACTCCCCCTGGTCCCCAGCTCCCGTGCCCGTGTCCGATGCCCATTGTCACGAGCCGCGGTCAGCCTGCAGCCCTTCCCGGCGTCATTCACCGTGACCTTGGCTGGACACTGGGCGGCGGTCGGCAGCAGAGCCCGGTCCGTGAACGCCCCCGGCAGTCCCCGCTCAATTTCAGACCGGAGCACGGGAGGGCTGCATGACACAACGCCTGTCCTCGAGTGCAGACAGACGCTAATGACAGGAGAATGGGAGGTGCCAGTTTAGTCTTTTTCAGTGCATCTCTGATCCTTTGATCTGAAACTTATGGTGTACTCTAATAGTTAATACCATGGTAACATATGGACTGAAGTGAAGCTTACTTTTTCCAGAGAGGGGATAAAAATGACTAGAGAAAGAGAGAGAGAGAGAGAGAGAGAGAGAGAGAGAGAAAGAGAGAGAGAGAGTGAGAGAGAGAGAGAGAGAGAGAGAGAGAGAGAGAGAGAGAGAGAGAGAGAGAGAGAGAGAGACGCTGTCGGGTCGGACCTCTGCGATGACCCCTGCTCTGGCCCTCTGCCCTGACCTGGCCCCTCTCTGTCGCAGGACGCCGCCGCCAATTTGTTCGGTCTGTTTGACTGGGACGGAGCCGGCTACCTGGACCAGAACGAGTGGATCGAGTTTCTCAAAGGCCGACAACAGTGAGCATCTCTGAGCGAGGGACAATATGAGGCTCCCTTGAAATAAATTAGTACACCTATTATACACGAAATTAGTTATTCATGGACAATGAACCACCACAACTTTGTTTTTGTCATTTTACTACAAATATTAAGATATTTAAATATTTAAATATTGCCTTTATACATTTAAATTTTCATAATCCTTTTAAATGCAAACTTCATATATTGCGTCGTCGTCGTCAATTTCAAAAGCCTGCAAACCTTCACAATAAATTCCATCGACATTACTCTGGCTGACCTCCTGCACCCCAGTGACGGGCCGTGTTCGTTTGACTCGCTGCAGGACAAACCAGCAGCGGGAGCTGGTGGAGGTCATCGAGACGGCCGCCTACCTGATCTGTGGCTACCAGGACGTCACCCTCGAGCGCTTCGCCAGCATCCTGCAGGCCAAAGGCGTGAGTCCCCTCCCCCCCCCCCCCTCCTTCCGAATCATACATGTTTTGTGCCGTACACTGCTGAATTCGCATTGCTTCCTCTTCGTTTTCATTGATGTTATCGTCTTAGGGAAGACCCACAGCATGCAGACTAACTCCTTTTTACCTGTACCTATTATTGATAGTCCACAAGCCTACCATCGTCATGTAAGTAAGACTAAATTAGGAGCTATTTCGTTCAATAACAGGTGATCCAGTTGTGCTGAAGTAATTGCTTAAAACCATTGTTGAACGTTGCGTTACCGAGTTGCATTAATTATTACTCACGTCTTCAGCAATGTCAATAAGATACGAGCTATGACGTGTGATCACTGTTCCGGCCAAGTCTCAAGTAGCATCGAACTATTTCTGTATCCGCCCGGCCAAGTCTGTCCACACAGCTGGGCCTACCGTTTATCTCCGACTGGGCGATATCGCCTGTGCCAGCTCATACCTCGATCCTCCCCTATCGGCCGTTATCGGAGAGCCACCTACCCGTCTGTTACTGCTGTCGGCCCCCGTGACCGTGGGAAAAACTGGCCACCGGCGGAACTGCAGGAATGCCGGAACTATGTGAAAAACGCCGCCGTTATTCACCAGGCCACGGGGTTATCAAACTGCTGACTGTTAGGATTATCTTATTGTGCGGCGGAACTCACAAGTCAGAGGGTTTACGGATGCTAAAAACAACTAGTTGCACATCGAAAAGGTTTTAATATCGTTATACATTTTGTTGACTTATGTCACGCTAACAAGTGCGCCGTTTACTAACTCCCAGCACGCCTGGCACCATGACCTGACAGTGTGGCTCGTTACAGGTCGCTCAGAAGTTCTACCGCATCCTGCAGGAGAAAACCAACAACCACGTGACGGTGGAGGGCGCCATGGACTTCATCGCCAACCTGAGCAACGCCAGGTGGGTCTCTGGTGATTTACAGGGGCACACATAAACGACCAGCGTCATTGTTTTTAGCATAAGCAAGATGCTTGGTATGTTTATAATCATCCCGTGCATGATACCTTTATAATATGCGCCCTATTATAATCTGCGCCACTTATAACATGTTTGCTTTTTCGCCGAATTAGTTTTCATCGCCTCCATCACTGCACTATCCTGCACGTGCCAGAAAAAGAAGGCAACATTCCCTCCGCTGGGTCAGTCCTGTCCGATAAGATTTCTCTCGCCTGTCCCTGCATAGAATGGCATGAGCTGGCTCATGTCACCTGGTGAAAGTGGATATGTTAAATAATTCAACACATGTTCTAAAGATTGCTTGGTTGAGTGTCGCCCTACACTTTCATGTGCATAGACCGTCATGTTCTTGGGCTTCTTCGCTTTTTGTGTCTAGATACGATCCCACTAAGCACTTAGATAATACATATTATTTCTACGGTTACGGATTGTTGACTGCAATGTGAATTGCAACTCTTCCTCTCGCATGATAGAATAAAGCTCAGCAAGTGCTTAGAGAATGGAGCAAGGAACAAGTGGATTTTCCCTTCAACAATGTCCGCCACCGGTGATAGAGCCGTTAGAGCCTGGAAATAACGGTGCCTCTAACCACGTGTCGCTGCATACTCGACCGACCCCGCGGGAGGCTCAGGGGTCGCTCCGTCCCCGGTCCCAAATAGCACTGGGGAGACTCGGCGGGGGGCCTGTTCCCTCCGAATGGACCTACCGCCTGACCGGAGAACGAGCATTGACGCAGGGATGGGTCCGCGGCATTTCCAGTCCGGAATGTCGAAAACAAGTGAGCGACCATCCGGGTAATTCCACAGTGCGGCACACTTTGGGAGCCGGAATGGTTCCAGCGTCAGACACCAGACGTCAGCACTGAGTGTGTGACTGATGGGTGAGATCGGAACCTGAGGTGGGCCCAATCCGCCACCAGATGGCTCTGAGGTATCTGAGACCAAGGGAGACCGTCTGGGCGGCAGCTGGTCGGCGCCAGGACCCAGTTTGTGGCTCTGGTTTGTGGTGTCAGTGGCTGCCGGCTGACTCGCTGCGAAAATCGAGCAGGGGTAGATGGCGTCATGATTGAAGATACCAGCGCTCAGTCGCGTCTCAATTGTAGACAACTGCATGCTATTGGCGTTTCACCGTCTGCGTCAAGTAATTCAATGGAATGCCGAAGTGTCTTTGTGTTCATTCTTTTACACTGCCCAACATAAAAGCGGCATAGTTGCATCATGTTCGGGCGTCATTGGAGGTGATAAGACGGCGATGAGTCAGTGAAGCTCGCTTATCTCCGAGCATTGACCCTCGCCTTGCCGATAAATTCTCCGGACGGCGCCGCGGCCGGTGACGGTTGTCTGGGTAGCTGAGAGCCGTTCCACCAGGCAGCGCTAGTGTCACCGACACACGGCCACCAGACGGCTCTGTGGTCGCTGATCGCTGGGCCAGTGCTTGCACAGCCACCTGCATGACAGTGCACGATTGATTGCGGTGCCTACTGCAGTAGTGCAGTGGACAGCCTGCAGTGCACTGTGGTGGTACACGCTCACTCACGGCTCAGTCACGGCTAACTCACGGCTCACTGAGTTCCGTCTTTGAGACTGTCCAGTTGGGGCAGGCTGGATTGGTCACTAAGCCGTACAGACGGTCATCCTGGAGACCATGCTCAAATGTAATGGCCTGGGGCTGCCCTCACCTGCTGATATAACTGATGACACTGCTGGCTCGTAGCAGAGATTCGGGACCAAGAAAATGACCAGTGGATTCATAATTCAGTCGGATGCGTTCAGCAGCCGGGTAGTGGAACGATTTTGTCGGGTGTGAACATAGCCATTCCATTTTTATTGCTATTTACTTTGAATAAAAATGTACGAAAATGCAACTTAGATTCGATAGCCTGTGTTTTGTAGCTCCGACTACTAAATGATAGGTGGTGACAAGTGTTTTCGGTTTTTTAAACATTCGTTTCCGGAGCTTCGACACAAACTCTATCTTCGTCTCGCTTAGGTGTTATATTCAATAAGAAGGTAGAATGGACAAGTATTTTTCTCACAAGCTCCAATCTTGCGTCGAATGTGAGTTGGTTACCAATATTATTCGCTGCGGAGACACCCGCCCCCTCAAGTAACGCAATAACCGGTGCATTTCGTAGCAAGCTGATTATTGGTGAAAGAACATTGCGTGCACGTATTTCATCTACGCGTGTTTCAGACTCAAAGGCATTATCTTTTCCCTCAAATCACTCATGCGTGTATCTTTCTGAACACCGAGCTTCTCACAAAGTACAACCCATGATGGCAGTAAACAAAAGCCCCGCCCGGCCCACCATGCAATAACCGATTTGCTGCGCCCCTCGCCACCTCCAATCTCAGCTCTGTGGGGAATGTTTCGTGTGCCACGCGCGCGACCGCCCGCTCGCTCCGCCCTTCTCAATCGCTCCTGATGGGCGCCTCGTGTGCGCTGAGCGACCATTACTGAGCAAGCTGTGCCGTAAATGGATGTAACCGCCGCCACTGGCCGCCGCTCCGACATGAGCTGCTACAACACCACACGGCACTCAGATTTGTCAGCTTCGTGTGGGTCGTTTGCCAGTGTACTTCATAGGCAGTAGGCACTCTTTAAATTGAACGTAGCTTCCCCAGACAAATAACGTCATCGAAATATTTTTGAACATTTTTAGCTGAGCTGTTATAAAGTTAAGTTGTTAACTTAACTAAAATCAGGAGGTAAATTATCAATAAAAAGCAATATAAAGGCACAAATTTCAGGGGCGGATCCAGCTCAGATTTTTTTTTGGGGGGGGGGGGGGGGACAAACTATAACAATTAATCGATTCTTTCCATGCCTCGTCCATAGGCGTAATGTTAAAATTATGCCGTTTGGGAGGGGCAAATGCCCATTTTGCCCCCCCCCCTTGATCCACCACTGACAAATTTTATCGTCAGTTAATTAAAATACAGCGTTACCCTTGCGCTTACATAAGCATTAACCTTCGCCCCAGTGGGGGGGGGGGGGGGCATATGTTACCACCCTGTCGCGTTTTTCGCGTGTGAATAAAAAACCGCGCCGCGCCGCTTGGAGTAGCTTTTTGTACATCAATTTTGGACAATGTGTGAAATTTTCGACCCCAGGTCATGTCAGGTCAGGTCACCAGGTCAAGTTAACTGACAAAGCCTAAAAAAGTTTGCAATCATGTCCAGCCTGCAGTGTTTGTCAGAGAGGTTTCAAACTTGGTGGATTGCATGATGTTATGGGCGCCTATAATTTGTATATCTCGGATTTTTTATATCCGTGACCTAAGGTCAGGTCAGTGGCGTGACCTTACCATTATAGGTAAGTCAATGGAGAAAAACGAAAATGCCTCTAGATCCGTGTGTACGCATAGGAACAGTCCAAATATTTCAGAATCACAATGATTTGGACCACTCGTGACGACCAAGGTGTCGTTTTTGCTGATAGCCTCTAGAAAGGTCATCCGAGGTCATTTGAGGCTACAAACAGATTTTTGCCAATAATTCTCGATTGGAAAGAGATTGAACGCTGGGGATGGCCTCATTGTGTTCGTCTTGCCGAGACGCATCGACTGATATGCGACATGACCTTTTCCGGTCAGGTCATGACCTTGACCTGAGGTCAAATTTTCAAGTTGACCTTTCAAGGTCAAATTATAGTTCATTCGACGCGTCTCGGTGAGAGGAACACGATTCTGGCAATAGAAATATCATGGCTTTTTTTAGTCAAAAGTTATTGTCGAAACACACTTTTCGTAAAAACAGCTATTTTTGGAGTTTTTGCCCCCTTGAGGCTAAACCGTTGACCTGAGGTCATTTTTGATGATGACCTTATCATAAGAAGCGTTCAAAAGCTATCGATTGCTTTTCCATGCGTTTTTCTAGCTATCATAGTTCCTGAGATAATGGCATGTTTTCTGAAAAATATAATGACAATTCGCAAATTTTGACCTTTGATGACCTCTGGTGACCTCAATATTGTTCTAAGATGAAAAATGACTGCAATACTTTCAAACGTACGCATTGAGAGCTATCGACTGCATTTTACCGCGTCTTTCTAGCCCTCTTAGTTTTTGAGTTAGAGGTGGGTGGTAACAATATTGCCCCCCCCCCCCCCCCCACCCACTAGGGCGAAGTTGGCTGAGACCGCCATTGGGGCGCGCATAAGCTATACTGTAAATTGCCTTAGACCAAATATCACAATACAAGAAATGACAATGAAATAGTTTGCATGTTCAATGTTCATGCTAGGTAGAATCAGAAAGCAATCAAAACATTGTGCAAGGCTAGCTCAGGAATCTTCCATGACAGTGAAAGTTTAGCGGGAATATCGAGTTTACAAAGAAGATCTATCAATCGGTCGAAGGGGTTACAAAAAGTGACCACGCCAGCCTCAAGACACGCGCATCTGTCCCAGTGAGTGATTGTCATCCAGCGGCGAGCACGGTAAGTCACTGTTGTGTAAGGTTCACCGGCCACCGTTCGCCGGCGATTTTCAATCAATAAACGAGTGAAGAAAGTTGCCGGTGCTGCGACCGCGGTGTTTATCATAAGTACATCTAAATAAGCGGCCGTGGGTGCCCTGGGCTGCCACAGGGCTCTGATCTACGAGCGCTATGATTTCAGAGAAGTTTTATCTCAGTCAGGTAGCGGTAAAAGCCGAAAGCCCTGCGGCACCCCGCGGAGCCGATATTTGGGACACTTGGGCCGAACGGAATGGATGGAGGCTGTTTCAAAGTCTCTAATAACGACCAGAACTCGTGCATGGCACTGACATCTACGGGCGGTGACTCGTGATTGATGTAGTTCCGTGACTCGATGACTCGTGATTCACGAAATATGGTAATACTCGGAAAGTTAAAACCCGTGAAGCGTGTAATGACTGGGCACACTAAGTGTGGGACTGAGACTTGCCTAATATACGGCTGAAAATGAGCTCATGCACGGCGT